TCAAAGACCTTATGTAGGACAGGTTTATGATGCCTGATTCCACCTTTTCTTTGATGAAGTGTCTGTCTATTTTCATGCTTTGTCATGGTAGACAAGGTTCTTTGTCATCTCAATACTTGCCTTATTGTCATAGAAAAGATAAAAGGGTCCTTCATAAGGTATTCTAAGCTCTTTAAGGAGCCTTGTGATTCAAATCCCTTCACATACTCCTAGGATAACAACTCTTAACTCAGATTCAGTGCTACTTCTTGATACCTCGAATTGCTTCTTGCTTCTCCATGTTACCAAATTCCCCCACACATACGTGCAATATCCTGTAGTGGACCTTCTGTTTTTCACAGCTCTCCTACGGTCTGTGTCTATGTATTTTGCTGTGCCTCTTCTTCTATTTCTCTCAAGGAAAATTCACTTTCCAAGGTTAAGTTTTAGATAGCGGAGGATTCTATACACTACTTCCATATGTTCCTCTTAAAGTTGGTGCATGAACTGACTCACCCCTCCTACTCCATGGCTTATGTTAGGGCGAGTGTGAGTTAAATAAATAACCTTTCCCACCAGTCTTCTATACCTCTCTGAGTCAACTAGGGTGCCTTTTGGTTTGACTTCCAAGTTGAATGTAGCCTCCATTAGTGTTTCACTTGGCTTGGCTCCGAGCATTCTTGTCTCATGGAGAAGGTCAAGTGTGTATTTCTGTTGGGACACATTGATCCCCTTCTTAGTTAAAGACCTTATTTGCCCAAGGTCTTTAACTTGAAACTTAGTGGCTAGTTCCCTCTTGAGCAGATCAATTGATTGATTTTGATTTCCTGTGATTACAATGTGATCAACACAGACTATAGTCTTGTAACCATCCCATTATTATACTTGACAAACCCTTAGAGATACCCTAGTCTTTTCAAGACCCTAGTGAATCTCTTAAACCAAGCCTTAGGCGATTGCTTTAGTCCATATAGTGAGTTTCTGAGCTTGCAGCCTTTTATGGAATTTTCAATTTTTCTCACACCTTCTAGGATCTCCATGTAGACTTTCTCCTCTATATCTCTATTGAGGAATGCATTTTTTATGTCTAGTTGATGCAGCGGCCAATCAAAGTTGGCTGCTATAGATAGTAGAACCTTAATTGTGTTGGATTTGGCTATTGAGGCAAAGGTCTTCTCATAGTCCAATCTATAGCTATAAGTGTACCTTTTTGCAATGATCTTTGCCTTATACTTACTGAGGCTGCCATTAGATTGAACTTTGGGGTGAAGACCCATTTGCAACCTATCACCTTCTTTCATGGAGGTAGTGCTGTGATGTCTCATGTTTTATTCTCCTTTAGGGCCTTGGGTTCCTCTTCGATTGTCTTTCTCTAGTTCAGATCGGCTATGGCTTATTAGAAGGTGTTTGGTATCTTGACCCATGCACTATTAGTGATAAAATTTTGCATTCTAGTAGAAAGGTTACTAAGATACAAATCTTTGTATAGGATGTTGAGTACAAGATCTTACTCCCTCAAGGCAATTGACCATCCTATGTCTTCAAGATCCAGTTCCGTGTTAGATTCATGGTTCTGCCTTGAAGTGGGAGAGTTTCTTGTTTCATTTTCATCTTCAAGGTTGTTCTTGTCGTTAGAGTAATTTGTTTCTTGATTTTCAGTGTTTTAAGGGTTGTGTGGGTTGGTATCGGTTCTAGTTTAAGGAGTTTCATTTCTGATTGTGTTTTCTTGTTTATCATGTGAGGTTTCTAGAGTATGTGGTGTGATTTCAGCTATTTTGTGGGTTTTATAGTGGAGTAATTATGTTTCTAGGTCCGAATTATAGCTTCTCTGGTGAAGTGATTATAGGTTCAAGTCTGTTGCGCATGTTTTCTATTGGTCTATGAGTGATTTTAGTTCTAGGTGTGAGTTGAGCATTGTTAGGTTCTTAAATTAGCCATTCTATCTCATAGTTCTCCCCTTGAATGGGTAAATTAGGATAATAGGCTTCTTCTTCGTAGAAGACTGCATTTTTAGTAATGTGAATAGTTTTAAAGGTTGGAGAGTAGCATTTATATATCCTTTGTGTGTTGGGGAATATCCTAAAAGAACATTTTTTTAGCTCTTGATTCAAGTTTACTTGTATTTCTACACACCAACACTACACAATCAAAAAACTTAGGAGGTAAATTATTAATTAAAGGAGAACTGGGATAGTTTTTAAGCAATTTCTGGACGGGAGATTTAAAATTCAGCATCTTGGAAAGTACTCTATTTGTAAGATATGTTGCTATCAATATTGCATCCCCCTAAATGAAATTTGGTACGTTTTTCTCAATCATAATGGCACGAGTTCCTTCCAACAAGTGTTTATTCTTTCTTTCAGCCAACACATGAGGTTTGATGGTGCACCCCTTGTTCAAGAAAACTTTTAAAAGGTCTGCTCATATATTCTTTTGCATTATCACATCTTTGGACTTTGATTATGGTTTGAAATTGATTTGTAACAAAGATGAAAAACTTCTTGCATGTTTCAAATACCTCTAATTTTTCTTTCAAAAGGAAAAACTAAGTCATTTGAGTGTGGTCATCAATAAAGGTAGCATTAGAGAGATTTTTAGCTTTTGCAGGTCCCTAAATATCACTGAATAAGAGTAAAAGGAGCAGTGGGTTTTATAAGGTTATTCAGTGAGGGTAGCTTTAGTTTGTTTAGCAAATTGACAACTATCATAACTAAAGAAATTCAAAGAGTCTTTATTGAAAAGTTATGGAAACAAACGTTGGGGTGTGTTTTGTTTATGTTGAAATAGTAAAGTCCATCCAACTCCTTAGTCTTGGCAATCATCCTCCCTAAGACTAGATGCTGAAACACACATCTAATGTCATTAACTAAGACATGGCATTGTATTGCATGTGAGTTCTGATACATAGTAAGATGCTCAGAAAGTTCAATGATTCCAAGTCCACATACTCAAGTAGTGATTCCAGTTGCCACTCTTGCCTACAATACTTGAGTTTTAAAAAGAAATTTATTACCAGCCATGTGATCTAAGACTCTAGAGTCAATAATCCAAATATTATCACTAGTCACCATAGTATTGAAAGCAATTATAGAATTATTTGACTTTACCAAACTCCCTAGTTTGCTCTCCTAGAATTCCCCTTGGCATTTGGAGCTTCTCAGGATTTGGCTTGTCTCCCTTGTCCTCTCTCTTCTCAGCATGATAGCCTTTGCTTTTTGTTTTCCACTTGTTGTTCAGGTCAGGTGGCTTTCCATGGAGTTCCTAGCAAATGTCCTTAGGATGACCCTTTTTGCTGCAACGGTCACACCATTTCTTTGCCTTTCTTTTCTGGTCATTTGTATTGCTCCTATTTGTGGCTGGTGCAGATGCCTTAATCGATGTCATAAGGACATGTGTGAGTTGCTTTCTACTCTCCTCATATTTGACCACGTTAAACATTTCAAATAGAGAAGGTAGAGGCTTGATGCCTGTAATTTCGCCCCTAACATCTTCAAAAGTATTGGTTAGTCCCAACAAAAATTCATAGGTTCTTTCTTTTTCAATAAGTTGTCTATAATATTGAGCATTAGTCCCAACAAAAATTCATAGGTTCTTTCTTTTTCAATAAGTTGTCTATAATATTGAGCATCCTCAGCATATTTCTAAGAGTGTACCTCAAAAAGATCTAGTTATTGCCAAATTCTCATGAGAGCACTATAGTCATCATACCTTGTTTAAGCTCCCTGAGTTGTTTCTTTAGTTGGTAGAGTGCAGCTTTGTTTTCACTTCTTTGTTGTCCTTGTGAATAAATACCCTTTGTTGATCTCCAAGGTCATTGAGTTACACAACTAGGCTATAACCAGGTATCAAATGACAGGTGCTGCAATGCTTGGTTGTTAATATATTTTTATTGGTGTTGTCCTCTCAGGTAAATTAGGATGCTTTGTGACCATTGGAGGTAATTACTTCCATTCAACTCGTGGGCTCTCACCATCTTTTGATTTTCAGTGGTCCGACACCATTATAGAGTCATTGGATGGACTAGTACAGCAGAAGATGAGCCCTTACTCAACTAGTTATGTCTCAGCAATCCAAACAGGGGAGGAAACTCATTGCTGTCCATTATTTCTTCGCAGCTTTGATATCATATCAAAGAAATTGAATCCAAGTAATTGCTTGATTATTACATTGTAGAGACGAATTTCCTCACAATATATTTGGAAATCTAATCATATTGAATAGAATTTAAGACAAAAAATCCCCCATGGTTAGGGGCTGAGATTCTAGGTGATTAAAAAGGAAAATACAAGGATTAAGGGATTTGCTTCTAACGGCTATTGCTAAGGATTCGATTCTAACAGAATTCAAATATAAGACACTTCCTTTCCTTGTTTACCTTTTCATTCACCTTTTTCTGCCAATTAACAGGCAACGAAATCAAGTCTCGTCGTTGGATCCATGCACAGTTTCAAGGGAAAGAACACTCAATAGCAAAATGCGTAACCCTTTTGGATGCAAACTAACATGCATTCCCCTCACATTTTCATGTTATCTTTATTTTAAAGAAGGCAATATTTCAAAGGATTTACTTTCAAAATGCTAATGACATAAACTCTAATAACTGATATCATACTACCCCATACTAATAAATTAATGAATAATAGAAAAGTTACATATACTCTTTTTTGCAATTTCATTATTAATTCTTTCCTTTATTCCAATTTAAAAATTTCAAATTTGGAGATGTGTAGCTTCAATTTGATATTTGTCTTAACATCTAATGCACTTTTTTCATTTTTACCCTTAATTATTTTTTGTTTTTTGGCCATAATCTCTTTCATCATCTTTTCCCGCACATTCTCTTCTGTACTTTTTCTCATTTTTTATTACAAGGACAAATTTGAAAACCAAAGTATATTTCTAGCATATTTATTGTTTTTAACTAATTTTAATTGATTGGTCGTTATTCACAAATTAATTATTTGAAGTTTATAGTAAGGACCTATTAACTATATGTGAAACATTAACGGTAGAGCTGATCGTAATCATGAAAGTGTTAAATATATATCTTGATTAAAATGCACAAAGAATCAATGGGGAGTATTCTGGAGTACATTTCAAGATGAAATACATGGCTTGTTTTTCCATAGTAGGATTTTATTAAGCTTCCAAAGCAACTCTTACTATTTCCGGATGAAGCATATTTGTGGGTTGAATTCTGCATATCCTACATCAACAAGACATAAGCCGTCAGGTGGTGCTGGAGGAGCGGTGGCACGCCTGCATGTGGCTTCCATGAGCTTCAATAAGGCATCATCTTCCGCACCAGCAGCAGCTTCTCTTATTGAGGTTGCCACAAGTACTCGAACCATCTATCATATTATCATCAGTATGAACCAAGTCAGTCAATACGTGAAGAAGTATGCTTCCAAAAGCATCCTACCATGAATACAGCAGGACCATTAACTTTGTTCATGAGCAATCAATACTAAAATTTAAAAAAAAAGGAAGGATTCACAAGAGCATAAAGCTTGATGTCCTTTATTATGGATTTCAGCACATGAAGCAAAGCTTTGCTGCTCAGACCTGGCCACATATCTAGGTTACACTAAGGAGAAACTTTCCATAACAACGCAAAGCTTTTAGTGTTAATACCAATAAATTTTATCGTTTTTGTTACTGTCCCATATGAACCAAAGAAAGCACAAACATGAAAAGCTACCTTGCGTAAAAAGCGATTAGCAACCAACTCAACGCATATAAGCCTTGATTCTTTCACATGAACCTGAACACAGTAAGAGCTACAATTACTACAAGTGATACATATAGTTCCCTGCAGGAACAGCAGAAAAAGTAGATGTGGAATAACTAGAGTTTTAAATATGCTTTGTCATTGGAATGAGAAGAGAATATGCAAATGAAAAATGGTCACCGAACAAATAGTTTTTGGATTAGTTTTTTAGAAATGATTTTATGGTGTATGAAGTATATGAGAGAAGTTTTGTCTTGACTTTTTTGAAAACACTTTTTTCCACTGCTTTCAGGGGTTACCAAACGCTCCCATAGTTCAACCAATCAACCCCACAAAATCAAGAAGCAAACAAAATGCAAAACAAATTTGAGAAAATATGGAAACAAAATGGTCTGAATTTAATCATTCTGAGACTGTGACTCAACTCAAATTCCATAACTTGGTAGAATTTAGCTTACTTAGCTAGACTTGAAGATTCTGGAAAACAGATAGAATGCTCCACATTATTTACAATCAAGGCTTTTTACCTATCTAAAGGAACTTACAAAAGGAAATCTTAAAGGAGCATCATGATTATATTGGACTGGTCAACCTTGCATGGCACACAAACTTGCTCTATTAAAAGATTGTCTATGGACCGCGCAAGTAAAAGTTCAACCTGACTAGGGGCCTGTTTGGGATAGGGTTCAGAAGCACTTATAACCACATTTTACACAAGTCCAGACAAAATCCTCACATACTTACCTCGTATTTTGTAAATCATGACTAAAGTTATTTATAAACTATTCCAAACGGGTCTTAGGTGGTATGAATCTTTTTATTCCAAACAGGTCTTAGGTGGTATGAATCTTTTGCACTATGTCAAGCAAAAATAGGTTGTTTCTTATTTTTCCAAGCAAGCATATTCCTCAACAAAGAATTAACTAGTAGAATTTGTAGGGTCATTATTGTCTCATGTAAGAATTTGTAGTGTCCAAGAGAGCGAGTTTTATGCTTTTAGAGTATCTACTGGTGCTAATTCTTAACAATCTAATAGGTTATTTGATGACGGTCAATGTTTTTGCCACAATTTATTGGATTCTCTCCCAAAAACCATATAAAGGCTCACTAAGAGCACTCTTCAAGCATTGAGAAGAGTGCTCAAGAATGTAGTCAAAAGAAAGGAATTTTTCAGTAGAAACCAGGTTCTACAATCAGTTAGTGGAAGTTGTCCCTTTCAAGGTTGTCAATAGTGATGCCCAGCTTCATCATTCCCCTATTCCACCTTATCAATCAGTTGTTCCAACTATTATGCAAATTGTTGCAACCTAGGAATGGCATATTATTCTCTACTTATGACATGCTCTAGCATTGGAAAGATTTATCAAATTTGGATGTCACTTAGACTACTAAAAAACAATCTCTCTGCTTGGATCCCACTCTTTTGGAATATTATCAAGCCTTCTTGACCTCCAACATCTATTTTTTCACATGTTGCTATAATCAAGGGTGGTCAGATTGTTTGCACATTGCATGACCCCCTCTACCATTATCTTTGTCCGCCGGAAAGGGTTTCCAATTTAACTACTTTTAGGGGAGTTCCCCACTTGCCTTGTAGGAGTTGCAACATCAATACTAATCTATGCAGGAGAGTTCATCAAGCAAGGAGAAAACTATGGGATAGTAGGAAGGATTTATCATGGGATAATGGCAAAAATTTGTTCTGTTTTAGCCATTTATTATTACAACTTTATTTTCTTTCCTATCAAGCTTTATTGGATTTGTTCCTATTTTATGATTTCTTTTACTTGAAGTTAAGGTTGGGTTGTATCTTATTTTATTTGGTCAAATTATTACATTAAAAATTACACTTAGGGCTTCATAAATAGCATTAGTATTATTCTCATTGTAGACTTTTTGATGAGTTGAATAAAATAGAGATTACATACCATCTAATTCACCCTCCCGTCTTCTTTCTCCCTGTCTTTCCACTATAAGGTTGGGATTGAATTGAAAGCGTGTTGGATGACACCATCATGTTAGAAATGCTAGTTTTCAAATTAACTCATCCCTCACATACAAAATCTGATCCCAACTTTGTTGCAAGTGTGGTGAACCAAACTATGAAGAAGCCAAATCAAAAACACTTTTTTCACCCAAAAAAGAAAAAAATCAAAAACACTTAGGGTTTGTTTATAGAAATCTTACATATTTGAAAATGATATATACCAAGGGTATCTATCTCACCTCAAGTAATCAGAAAATAGGAATCAAAGTTTACACAGGAAGGATCCTGTTATGATTACCCCATAGGTACCAAAATAGAGTTTAAGGTAAGGTTGTTGCTCAATGTTTTTGCAGAGGATCCTGGTGGAAAAAACTTCTTGAAGAACATAGAGTCACTTGGAAGGATGGATGAATAAATTTTTAATCCAAAAAATCATGTGCATCGAGGACAAAACACCTCCTATGGATATTGTTACTTGATGAAGGAAATGTTTGAATCCAACAAAATTTTACTAAGCATGTGGATGACATCTGAACCGAGGCAACATCAAGAGTTAAAGATTTGACATCCCAACTAGGTTTCTCAACATGGATAGCCTAGTTTAAGGGGAGTGTTAGAATCTCATACATATTATTGCCTGATTTTTTTATTCTAGCATATTTTTTAATCAATTTGCGTTTTTGTTATTTAGCATTGTAATTGTTGGTTTTGTGGGATTGATCTTGTTGTTATTGAGAGTTTGTGTGCAGAAAAGCTGTATTTTATTCCACAGATTTGTGCGATACATATAGGGAGAGGAGTGATTCAGCATATCGCATGAAATCCTCCAGATTTAATAAGGAAGCAAAATAGGAAATAAATATATTCTGTAATCCCTAATTTAGCGCCTAAGGATCAGGTCTTTAACGGTTAGTAAATCAGTATACATAGCTGTAATGATTCTTGGTTTAATAGGATGATTGGGCCTCTCCCTAGGGCCCATTTCCGACACTCCCCCTCAAGTTGGAGAATATATGTTAATCATTCCCAGCTTGCTAGTCAACTCGTCAAACTTGTTCTTGATCAATGGTTTGGTCATCACATCCGCAATCTGTCTTCCAGAGGGAATGTAGGTTAGGTCGATCACTTTAGCTTCAATCTTTTCCTTGATGAAATGACGATCAATTTCAACATGTTTTGTTCGGTCATGTTGGACAGGATTGTTTGCAATCTTGACAGCCATATTATCACACCACATTTTAATTGGTGCATTTATTTCTATACCAAGTTCCCTTAGCACGTGTACTACCCATATCCCTTCACAAATGCCAAGAGCCAGAGCTCTATATTCAGATTCAGCTGATCTTCTTGATACAACTGGTTGCTTCTTGCTCCTCCAAGTCACAAGATTTCCCCACACAAATGTACAGTATCCAATAGTAGAACGTCGGTCATAGATAGCTCCTGCCCAATCAGCATCCGTGTAGACTTCTATATCTTTGTCTCCCTCTATGCTGGAGTTTCTTTTTGTACCATCTGTATAGATTTCTACATTTTTCTGTCCACTTTTAGCAAAATACAGACCTTTACCTGGAGTAGTTTTAAGGTACCTGAGAATTCTTTGTACTGCTTCCATGTGTTCCTTTTGGGGGTTGCTTGCAAACTGACTTACTACCCCTACTGCAAATGAAATGTCTGGCCTGGTGTGAGACAAGTAAATTAGCTTCCCCACTAGTCGCTGGTACTGTTCCTTGTTAACTGATTTTCCATCAGGTTTGACTTCCAAGTTACAATTGAGCTCCATAGGGGTCGCAGCAGGTCTGGCTCCCACCATGCCTGTTTCTTTCAATAGATCCAAGGTGTACTTCCTCTGAGTTACACAAATGCCTTTTGGAGATCTAGCTACCTCTAACCCGAGGAAGTATCTTAGATTTCCCAAATCTTTTACTTCAAATTTTGCTGCCAATTTCTGCTTCAACACTGCAATCTCTTCAGGGTCATTTCCTGTCAAAACTATATCATCTACATAGACAATTAGGACAGTGATCTTATAATTAGAGCGTTTCACAAACAAAGTGTGGTCAGTTTGACATTGCCTATAACCAAACTCCTTAACAGCCCTTGTGAATTTTTCAAACCAAGCCCTTGGTGATTGTTTTAACCCATATAAAGATTTGTGTAGTTTACATACCTTTCCACGGGTTCCAGGACCTTCTAATCCTAGGGGTATTTGCATGTATACCTCCTCCTCTAAGTCTCCATTTAAAAAGGCATTTTTAATGTCTAATTGATGTAAGGGCCAGTCCAGATTGGCAGCCAAAGAGAGAAGAATATTTATAGTATTAAATTTGGCTACCGGAGCAAAAGTCTCTTGGTAGTCTATGCCATAGGTTTGAGTAAACCCTTTTGCAACTAATCTTGCCTTATACTTGTTGATGCTACCATCAGGATTAAACTTCTTTGTAAAAACCCATTTACTCCCAACAACAGATTTCCCAGGGGGTAAATTAACTATTTCCCATGTTTGGTTCTTGACTAGAGCCTTTAATTCATCATTAATAGCTGCTTTCCAGTTAGGGTTTGAACTAGCCTCATTAAAAGACTTTGGGATTTCCTCATTATCAAGATTAACCACAAACGCTTTAAATTGAGAGTTAAGCTTATCATAGGAGACATACCTCCCAATAGGGTGTCTAGTGCAACTCCTTTTGCCTTTTCTCAAAGCAATGGGCCACTGTAGATCTTCAGGATTAATCTCAAGATAAGATTCATGACTCTGCCTTGGAATGTTAATGGGTTCTTCTCTGGTTGTTGGCTGTTCTGTTGTGTTCACCTCTGTCTCTGTGGTATGTGACTGCTGGTTTGTCTCTTGGGGGGCTTCAGGTATAGGTTCAGTGTTATTGGGCACTTCTAGAATTGTTTCAGGTCTGTTGGGTGCCATGTCAGGGGTGTGTGGTGTTTTTTCTGGTGTTGTGACAGTTGTTGCAGGGTCACTGGACGGTGTAATAAGGTCAGGTTCAAAAATAGGTGTCTCTATAGGGGCTGCTGGTGATGCTAGGGTACCATTACTGTTTTGATTTCTTTGCTGTTCAGGTTGTGTGTCACTAGTATAGTTACTATCAGGACAAGTTAGCCATTCATTAGCTCTCTCCCCCTGAATGGGTAATTTGGGGTAAAAGGGTTGTGATTCCATAAATTGAACATTCATGGTGACATAGACACGTCTAGTGGTAGGAGAATAGCACTTGTAACCTTTTTGGGAGGAAGAGTAACCTAGAAAAATACATTTAAGAGCTCGAGTATCTAATTTGCCACCATCTTCATTGAACACAAAAGCTGTGCAACCAAAAACTCTTTTAGGGAGATGGTTGAGGAGGTAGGAATTGGGATAGGTTTCTAAAAATTTATCAATTGGGGTTTGAAACTTTAGTACTTTGGAGGGCAGCCGATTGATTAAATAGGTGGCAGTGAGAACTGCATCACCCCAATAAATATTGGGAGCATTACTCCCAATTAAAAGTGAGCGAGCAACTTCTAAGAGGTGCCTATTCTTCCGCTCAGCTATCCCATTTTGCTGTGGTGTGTATGTGCAAGAAGTTTGATGATGAATCCCTTTTTCAATAAGAAAATCTTTAAATTTTGTATTCACATACTCCTTTCCATTATCACTTCGAAAAACTTTTATAGAAACATTAAATTGAGTTTGAATAAAGGCGTGAAAGTGCTTAAACAGTGGAAAAACTTCTGATTTGTCTTTCATTAAAAAGAGCCATGTGAGGCGTGTATGGTCATCTATGAAGGTAACAAACCACTTGGCCTTGGAGTTAGTTTCGATTCTAGAGGGTCCCCAAACATCACTATGAATGAGTGTAAAGGGAGTAGTAGGAGTATAGGGGTTCGCTGGATAGGAATTTCGTGTCTGTTTAGCAAAGTGACAGGTGTCACACTGAATTTGAGAAGGAGATATTTTATTCATGAAATTGGGAAACAGGATTTTCATATAATCAAAGTTAGGATGGCCTAAACGGTAATGCCATAACATTATTTCATCACGGGACACAGCAGCATTGTTTGGAGTCACATGAATAGCAGAAGTAGCAGTAGCTAGGGGGCTTTTATTTTTCAGGTTCCCTTCAAGGTAGTACAGCCCATTACATTCTTTAGCTTTGCCAATCAGCTTGCTCAAGACTAAATCCTGAAAGACACAATGAGATTTATTAAAACCAACTAGGCAGTTTAATTTATCAGCTATGCACTGTACTGACAGTAGGTTGCAGTGTATATCAGGCACATAAAGTACATCATGAAGAATGATATCAGTAGATAGAATTACAGTGCCAGATCCCATAACCTTTGCATATTCATTGTTTGCTACCTGCACACGGGAATGCTGTGAATATGAACTAAACACAGAAAATAGTTCTTTAAATCCAGAAACATGATTAGTAGCTCCAGAATCGACCACCCAGATATTTTTCGAATTAGTGACTGTTCTAAGTGCAGTTAGAAGTTCTGTACCTGTATAAGCCAAGGAAACAGTTGGGGTATCCTCACTTAGCTTTTCATGGGAGTATTTGTCAAGGATTTTCCTCAGTATTGCAAGCTCCTCATGCTTTAGGATTTCACTTTCATTGGGGGTGTTACTAGTTAGAAGTCCTTTACCTTCTCCCTTAGGCCGTGGCTTCCAATTGGCTGGCTTGTCATGGATCTTCCAGCATGTGTCACGGGTGTGGCCATTTTTGTTGCAATGGTCACACCTTAGGGACTTCTTTCCCCTTGTGTCTCCACCTTGGTTGCTTCTAGTCACCATGGCCGAGCCTTCAGTTATGGTTGATGGGGAAACCAAAGATGGATTTTGAACCAGTGCTTTCCGGCTCTCTTCATTCTTAATCATATTGAAGGCATCTTCCAGTGATGGAAGGGGCTTAATGCTCATTATTCTTCCCCTGATATCTTCAAAAGAATCGTTAAGGCCAAGAAGAAAATCATAACATCGGTCTCGGTCTATTACCTGTTTGAAGTAGACTTCATCTGTATGGCAGGACCATTTGTGTACTTCATAGAGATCTATTTGCAGCCACAGTCGCACCAGGGCACTGTAGTACTGGGTGACAGACTTCTCCCCTTGAGTGAGGCTGCGTAGCATGCGTTTGAGTTGGAAAATAGCTGCTGTATTTTCCTTAACAGAGTATGTCCGCCTTGCTGATTCCCATATTTCTCGTGCGGAACTAGCAAGTAGGTAGTTTTCGCTAATTTCAGGAAGCATGGAATGAACAAGCCATGTCATTACGGTGTTGTTTTCTGCACACCATGTTTCATACTGTGGGTCCTCGGTTTTTGGTGGCTGAGGGTTCCAAGTAAGGTATTTTTCCTTGTTTCTTCCACGCACAAACATGAGAATATTTCTGGACCACTGGAGGTAGTTGTTGCCATTGAGGCGGTGGGATATAATCAGTTGGGACAAGGAATCTGGTCCAGATCCATTTGGTGCGCCTGAACTAGTTGACCGCATCTCTTCTGACTCGGTCATATTCTGGGGTGCAGTTGTCACTGAGGTGGACTCACCCTCAGCTGTAAAAGCTCTGGAATTTCATGTCAGAGCTTCTTTGAAAGACATGAGTGGTAGCGCTCTAATACCATGAGAGTTTGTGTGCAGAAAAGCTGTATTTTATTCCACAGATTTGTGCGATACATATAGGGAGAGGAGTGATTCAGCATATCGCATGAAATCCTCCAGATTTAATAAGGAAGCAAAACAGGAAATAAATATATTCTGTAATCCCTAATTTAGCGCCTAAGGATCAGGTCTTTAACGGTTAGTAAATCAGTATACATAGCAGTAATGATTCTTGGTTTAATAGGATGATTGGGCCTCTCCCTAGGGCCCATTTCCGACAGTTATAATAACATATCACTATTTACTTAAGAATTATTCACTTGAATCAATGAAAACTTTGTGCTCTCAGTAATATGAAAACTCACATATATTTATTGGAGTTAATTATAAATGCACAATTCATTAAAGGAGAACCCAAGTAAAGACCACTTTCCCTCAAACAACAAAGAAGTTTTTAAAAAAGGGAAAACCAAAAGCTTGATAATTGAGAATGGTGAATTGCCAAGAAAAAGAAAAGGGTGAAGTTAAACATTTACAAATCAAGCAATGGGATATATTTGATTTGTCGTAGATCTTAATGAGTCATGGAAGAATTAAAGGCTTTTCTTGTTAGGCATCGAGATAAACAAATCCAAAATAATTCTAATGCAGTCATTTGGCATGTAGAATGGAATGATCTCAATATCTTTTTTTGTTTTTTCCTGCTGTGGGGTGCGGGTAGGAATGAAGTAACTACATTCGGAGAACTATTCCCATATAAGCTTGACTATAACCGAATTTAGACTAACTGAACACTAGATAATTGTATCCGAAGAAAAAAGAATAGTGAATATTAAATAATGATAATATGTGTGCAATAAACATGGTACATTTTGCCTTTCAACAGTTAGTTTTTGAAGATCGCTCTGAACAGAAATAAATTTCAAATTGAATAATGAGTCGTCACTATTTTAAACCTGCAACACTCATGTTATTTGATAATTTGGAGATTATTGAACTATATTTCCTAAATAAAAATTTTGCGAATTATGATATCTATAATCTATAATCTAGAACCAAAAAAAGAACTATTTACAATGATCATGAAGTTGGCAACTATGGGCTTTAATCTACAGAAGAAAAGGCTTCTCAGAAAGTAAGATTCTATGAAAGGGTTCAGATTTACTAAAATTGTACATCTAATACAAAAGCTAACAAGCAGCACTCTTGGGCCAAGAAAAATGCGACTCATTTCTTAGGTCCTGTATGGTATAGAGGACCATCACTAGTTTTATAAAATGCTGAACTTTTTTTATTGAAACAGCATGCATTGCTAATCTCAGAAGGAAAATGCTTTTTAAGGAAAGCCAAATCCCATGAGGTCTTGTATCACATTCAAATAAGAGGCCAACAACTACGAGTAGGTAGGCAGCAAAGAAAAAGTGCAGGAAAACAGAAATTCAAATTTAAAAAGTAGTAGTGAACATTACAGTAGCAGGTAATCTGGCTTCCATAGCTCGAGCATGGAAAACAAAGCACTCTGTAGGTGGACCACTGAAACAGAATGACCATTGTCAATATCAATTTGCGCTAAGAAATTATCATCATATGCTAAGAAATATCCATGTGGGCTGCTATTCCCTTGCATCATCACATATTAGGCACACATTGGAGCTTTGATCTAAACATTATGAATTGTTTGGTAACTAAATAATCAAAGACATTGGCAATTTACGTTTAAATAATGTAAACAATGAAGTCTCCTTATTTTAGGACCAGTTCATAACATACATATTTGTATAGAAATACTTCCAACAAGTCAATTCGAAGTTCAATTAACAGAAAGAAGGAAAAGAAATCCGGAGGAGATTGCTGAAAAACCCAAGTATTGAAAGTGTTGAGCTTACCAGGTGAGAGTCCAAAGCATACTTGCAGACCTACAGTGGTTCTGGTTCAATTATTTTTTGTTTGCTAATCCAATTTTAACGTTGCCCTGTATCTTTCCAGCTCAGATACTGTTCAATTATTAAAAGTAACTATGAAGGGAATTAGCCAAGCGGGAAATGAAGTCAAAGAAAACAACGTAAACAACATCAAGATGGCCATTCATGGGAAGCAAGTAGAAGAATTCCCAGGGCTATTTGTCTAGTGACTTCATCTTAAAAGAAGCACTAGGTTTTGAAGTTCTTGAATTGATAATTTGATAATTAACAAGTAAAAGAATTCCAAGAGCTATTTTGTCTAGTGAGTACATCTTGAAAGGAGCCCTATGTGTTGAAGTTCTTGAATTGATAATTAATAAGAACACAACTTGGTACATTGCAACTAATTATCAATATGAAACCCTACGGGTCAGCTAGATTTTTAAGCAAGATTCTTTTTATGTTATTAATTAGTTTTTATATATAAGAAATCATGTTTGAAACTTCACCTTGAGAGAAAGTATTGAATAACTTAAAAGTGTTGAGAAAGGAATTGATGGGAAATTAGGAAAAGATTAAATTGATGTTTTAGTAATTTATAGTTGCGATATTATTTTGTTTGGCTTTCTTAGGTTGCTTCCTACTTTGTGCTTTCTTCTACATAGAGGTAACTTTTCGTTTACTCTTAATGAAGTTAGAGTTTATGTCATTTTAGATTTACGTTATTATAATTGTATTTAGGACTCTATAGAAAGCCCCAGGTTATTTTCATTGCCAAACCTTGAGATGAATTGCTATGGAGATTATGGCTAAGGAGAAAATTTAAGGTATGAACTAAAATCAATCTACCAATCTGAATACGCAAGAATCTCACTCAAAAAGTACTAACAGCCTATAAAGGAGAATCTCCAATAAAGATAAACAATCCCCCAATTGATTCAAGACGATATTAAATGCCACCAAATGAAATATTTATAAACAAATACATATACAATCCTAAAATGTCTCACCAACAGATTCAACATTGGAATAACAACCTGAACTAATTTATTTAAATTAATAAAAAAATATTTGCAATAAGTTGCTGACTGACTTTACTAATCCTAAACTCATGCAGCATGAACGGGAACAATAAAGATGCTGAAAAATAACAAAATTCAGACACAGTCAGACTAATAAACAGAAGCAAACAACCTTCATTTGTTGCATGTTGCTTCCTATGTGAATAAATAATTAGAGGCTTATCACTATCTCTTCGTCTCTCCTTTCTTCTTCCCCCATCCTCTTTCCACTCCTCTTAGATCAATAAGACTGAGACCCCATTTGTCATCACGTTTAAAATCACATATAAGCACATTTCATGTAAGCCAAGACAAAACTCTTCTCACATACTTACTTCGTATTCCGTAAATCACAATTGAAAAGATGCTTATAAGCCATTTTAAATGAATCCTAAATGTCAAAGGCTTATGGCACTTAAATCTTTATTGTCATTGGGAGATATATAGTTATCACTGTTCCTTATTGCTGAGTTTTTCTTGTAGTTAACACTTTCAAAACATGATTGTGTGGAGTGAATCCTTTAACCGGGTGCTCTAACAACCTAATCTGTTCTAAGTTTTAACCACAAGTCTCAAAGCGAAACTATTAAAGTCTAACAAAACAAGGATTTAAATGCGGATTTATTTTTATTCCTGAAGACACAACTCAAACACTCCGTTGAATAGCTAGCTATAAAAAGGAAATTTTGACACTTCTTATAACAGGTAAGATACGAGGTAAGATTAAAAAAAAGAGGGGGGCTGACAAGTCACTTGTGTGGACCTTTTATGAATATGCTTTCAGCAAACTAGCTATTTCATTTCGGTTGAGATGAAAATTCAGTAATTACAGACTTACTCATTTCTTGAAGCTTTTGTGTCACGGGCAAACATCTTGTAGGATAACACCTTCCCTTCTAATTGTTGTAAAAGTTGATTCACCTTTCTTACAGTGAAAACATAAGATTTCTTTTCACTTTGAGACTCAATGTCGGTAGAATCATGAATATCATCAGATTCAACATTCTCACAGGACCCGTTTCCGCTGCTTTGGTCTCCATACTCACTATCAGTGAGCGGAAAAATATATAGGTAACGCCTCCATTTTGCAGAGAAGTTAGGATGAAAGATGCGTGACACCTAAAGTAAATTGCATTTATTGTCATTAGATTCAACTTTCAAAATAATAATAAAAATGATCAAATTTATTTTTCTTTGAATATCAAAGAAATTAATAATAGATTATATTGAACTGAACTTTAGTTGTACATTACAGATTACTTAAACTGCACATTACCTCAGAAACAGATATGACCCTAATTTTTCCTGGTGCTGCATGATTGATTGCATCCTCAATATCACATCTCTATGTCCCCTCAGATCAGTTAAATCACATCACTTCCTCCAAGTGTCTATGTCCCACTCAGACTATACACATAATATAGCGAATACAAATCACAAATAAACACCCAAAATGAATCGTCCCCCGGCCCATCCCTCTTTCCCAGAGAGGGAGGGAGAGATATTTAGCTCTTCAGCAATTTATTTTATTTCACAGAACACAAACAATTACTCCAATGAATTATAAATCTATAATAATAGAAACGCATTAAAATTGTATAATTAGGTCCCTATATCCTAATAAACTCTAAGTTCATACAATATTGTGTTATTGTTCCTACATCCGCACGTAAAACACCAAAGCTTTCTACTTAAAAATTTAAATATGAATTTCTTTCGAAAACCTTAGGGCACATTTGGTACGTTGAAAATCTTGGGAAGGAAAAAGAAAATTCTGATTTTACATTGATGAGACACATTTGGCAGTACAATTTTTTTGGAACCCAATTTCTGGCTGCAAAGGATTTTGCCTTGCACATGGGAAGCATGCTTCCCACCCCTTTTGGTGAGAACTAATTTTCATTCACGAGTAGGATAATCCAAAAGACAAATTTGCTCATGAAAAATAACTTAGATTTATTGTTAGATCACATCCTTTAACTTCAACAATGTTGCCTTGGCTTCTGTTTCTTCTTCCTATTCAAGCCAGTGGGGATGAGTTTGAGGCAATGCAGAGGGATGTTGCAGCTGAACAAAAGTGGGGATGGGGGAAAGCATCTTTTCAGTCAAGTGAGGATGAGGGCTTCTATTCTCAACCTCTAGCGTATCAAATAGTGTTATAAACATAACTTTGTCGACAAATTCAGATTTGAGCAGTCCTTTTAAGCATTTCCAGTTCAACAAATTTGAATTTGTACCATATATTCAAATTTGCTAAGCATTCATGTGAAGAATACTCTATTTTAGTGAAAATGAAGCTTAAAAAGATGGACGAGAAGTTGAGAAAGAATGTGGAAAAATCATATCCACTGAAACAAATGAAGTTGACAACAATTTGGTGCTGTAACACTACTTTGTCTTTCATTGAAAAAAGAGACATAAACAGAGTGCTTTTTTCAGTTTACTATTTCTACAATGGCCATCACATTCATGCTGCTGAAAAATATTGAAGCGAATGGATGTTGCAATTTGTTTCTGGATTGCGATGTTTAAAGCTCAACTTCAAATAGACATAATTTTAGCAATTTAAATTCAATTGTGCAAATGACCTATCTTAGGAAAGCTCTATGACTCATGTTTACAATGAAACAAGCCCCATTTGGAAACTCTTCCCATTATGAAATATATAATCACAAGAGTGCGTAGAGGTCAGCAACATTTTAGCTTTGACACTTGATCAATGTTCTTAAAATATATCACAAACCATAAATACGTTGGAAGCAAACCTTATTTCATATCAAAATTGACTTAATAAACTTTTCAATAACATCTACCATGATAAAAAATATTTTCATATGAAATAGATAGGATATTTGAAATCTAGCGCTTCACTTTGGTTAAAAAAAATGTTTCTGACCTTTGCTCCTATTGCTATCATACCTTTCAAAATATAAAAGATTTTTAAATGGATCTTATTGCATTAGATATTAGACTCAGATCTTTCCAATAATAGGTCATTTGCCTAATTTGATTTTTTTTTTTTTTCGAGGCATACACCAAGGTATCCATGACCAATAACAATAACTAAACGGCTGACCATGAAATGCTTTTCATGCCCAAGGGTGAGATTCAAACCCACACCACTTGGTTAGGAGGCTAAGTGAGGTAACCACTAGGCCACACTCGTATCGTTTGCCTAGTTTGGATTTAAATTGAAAAAGTTATGGTTATTGGAAAAGTTCTTTTACTCTCCATCTTCCTTTTATTCTTCTTCTGTACAGGGCCCTAAGTTGCCATCACCACAACCATTTCTGGTGGCTTCATCGTCCTCAACTAAGAAACTCACCCTATCCTTATCTAAAAAAGATATGGAAGAGCGTTGTCGCAAGGGGCTTGGTTATTAGAGTAATGATAAATACATGATGTCTCATAAATGCAAGGAATCACAGGATATGATGTTGGTGATTCAGGACATTGATAATGATAATTTTGTCAATGCCATAGATATGCTTGTTTCTGATTCTAACCTACCCACCGCTACTATCAATGTTGTTCTTAGCAGCGAGGGCGCTTCAACTCTGCAAATCAAAGGGTTCATCATAAAGTGCGATGTAGTGATTCTTATTGACACTGGAAGTACTCGTAATATGGTCAATACTTCCATTGTGAAGCGATTGCATTTGTCGATTTCTCAGGACAAACCATGCATGTAGGGGTCATTAGTTGTAGAATATGCTGCGGATTATTAGGAGAAGATATAGCAATTTAATTGCAGATATGGGTAGAAGATATTAGGGATATTATTTCCTTTTTTACGTTGATTGTAATCGCATGGAATCAGGCCACATTGATCGGCCCTGTACATCTCCTCTGTGTATATATTTGACCGAATAATACAATGAATATACAGAAGAATTATTTCAGCAATCTAGAGTTGTTACCTTTACATGGTATCAGAGCAATCGTGAGGGAAAACAACGATGATGACTGAATCTTCTGGCAGCGAGAAGGAGACACTCCTCTAGCCCGAGCCGAACTCGTCGCCGATGATAGGAGGCTCCTCTGTTAGTGGCGCATCGCGCCTTGTACCCGCTGGGTTCGAAAGCTCAGTCGTTCTGATCGTCCCGGAGAAGCTTTCTGGCGACAACTATCGAGAATGGGCACAGTCGATCCGACTTGCCCTTGAAGGTCGTGGCAAACTCGGGCACATCACTGGTGACTCGCCGCCCCCACCGTCGTCCGATGCGAAAGCCGTGACGATCTGGAGAACCGAGGACGCTATGGTCTGTTCGTGGTTGGTGAATGCCATGGCTCCTGCCCTCAAGCAGTGCTTCATGTTCCTTTCCCCTGCGCGCGAGATGTGGGAGCCGTCCGTGAAGCCTACGGGGATGGAGAGAATGCGTCTCAGGTGTTTGACCTCAAAGCAAAATTGTGGGACCTAAAACAAGGGTCTCTCTCCTTAGGGGATTATTATCTTGCCAAAACTACCCTTTGGCAGGAATTAGACCTCATTAGTGACGACAGTCCGTGCTGTGCCTCCCATGTTGCCAACAATAAAAAGAAGCTTGAAAAGGAGCGCCTCTTTGAACTGTTAGCTGGTCTCAACCCTACCTTTGATGATATCCAAGGCCGTATTTTAAGCCAGGATCCTCTCCCTTCAGTTCGTGGGGCCTTTGCCATACTAAGAAGCGAGGACTCCCGTAAGAAGGTTATGATGAAAATTGACACCACTCCTCGGCCTCCCACCATAGAACCCTCTGCACTTGCCGTTCGCTCCGCTAATCAACGCCATAGCAACACCAAACAGAGACCCACACGTGAGCACTGTAACAAACAGGGCCACACCAAAGATACATGCTGGGATCTCCATGGAAAGCCAGCTGATTGGAAGCCCCGGAAGGGAAAAGGCCGTGGTTATATAGCTGAAGCATCTTGAAGTGAGGATTCTGCCTCACCAAACCCAGGTCGCCCTGATGATGCATTGAGTAAGATCCTCGAACGTCTTGCTGCACTAGAGAACAATCAACAACCTAGAAAGCCACCGGTTGCCAAAGTAGTTAAACGAGGTAACTTTTTTAAGGCTTTAGCCACAATCAAACGTATGAGTTCTGGACACTGTTGGATTGTTGATTCTGGAGCGTCTGATCATATGACTGATGATATCACTCTCTTCGCTTCTTATACGCCTACCACATCATTGCCACCGGTTAAAATTGCTGATGCCTCTGATTCTGTAGTTGCTGGTATTGGGAGTATTAAGATATCTGCCACACTCACTTTGCATGCTGTCTTACATGTTCCAAACTTGAAATGCAATCTGTTATCTGAGTCAACTTTCGAAAGAAGAAAGATGCCATGCTGATTTTTTTGCCACTTATTGCGTTTTTCAGGATCTGTTGACGGGGACGACGATTGGCATTGCTAAGGAGTTTGATGGTCTTTACTACCTGGATGATTGTGTTGATCACCGTGTTAGCTCTTGTAATAAAGTGTCTCTCCCTAGGACTAGTGACTTTGAGTTATGGCACAAACAGTTAGGACATCCCAATTTTCATTATATGACTCAAATGTTCCCTTCTATTTGCTCTAATAAAGATTGTTTCGAATTTTACTGTGATGCTTGTGAACATGCTAAACATCATCGTACCTCCTTTACTAGTGTTCCGTATCGTGCGTCCAAACCCTTCACCGTTATCCACAATGACCTATGGGAACCTGCTCGTGTTCCAAATCGCACACAGTCAAAATGGTTCATAAGTTTTATTGACGATCACACCCGTGTGAGTTGGGTCTTCCTCTTGAAAGATAAGACTGATGTTTATCATACTTTCGTTGACTTCTATCACATGATCCACACACAATTTCAAACAAAAATTCAGATTGTTCACACTGACAATGGCACTGAATACTTCAATACCAACCTGTCATCCTTCCTTAGAGAACATGGCATCCTCCATAAAAGTACCTGTCCACACACACCTCAACAAAATGGCATTGCCGAAAGGAAAAACCGCCACATCCTAGAAACTGCCAGAGCCATCATGTTTAGTAGCAATGTACCCAAATACCACTGGGATGATGCTATCCTCACTGCCACCTTCCTCATCAACCGGATGCCTAGTAAACCCTTGTCATACAAAACACCCTTGCAGGTCCTTCACACCCACTACAACCTCCCTTACTTGGAAAATACCTTGCCTCTCCGTGTGTTTGGGTGTACCTCCTATGTTCACCTCCATCACCATCACAAACTTGATCCTAAAGCCATCCATTGCATCTTCCTGGGCTATTCTAGCACTCAAAAGGGGTACAAATGTTACGATCCTAACTCCAAACGTCTTCATGTTATCTGTGATGTCACCTTTCATGAAACCATTCCGTTTTACTCCCAGTCTTCAATTCAGGGGGAGCA